TCAATTCTTTGTTCGCCTCTCAAAGTATCATAACTGACAATATTTAGCCCTTTATTAAAGGGTTGTTTATTTAATTCATTGATTATATACTTTATTTCTTCCATCTCTTGATTACAATTTAGTATAAATTTCGTTAAATATTATTGTTTTATAACTTTTCACTTTAAACATAAAGAATTTACAAAACAATACATCGGTTGCTATGGAATAAAGAGAGAATTCATAACAAATATTACTATTAGAATATGCTGTAAACCCGTGTCCATACAATTGGTTGTTATATAGAATAATATCAATACATTATTAGTAATAATATTTATTTCAAAATAAAAGGTATTTTTATTAAATAATTTTTTTGATAAACACATTAATATCTAAATTACATAGTCTTGAGGCCAATGAGAAAGGAATTTAGCTAATAATTGTTGTTTTTAAAAAGAGGTACAAATCGTCCACTTCGACAGAGTCTCTCGGGCACGGGTTGATAGTCATAGATCACAACACCATTTGCACCATCAGAGGAACCGCTCTCTTCATTCAGTTCAGATCTAAGCAATTGATTTGTAAACTTTGTCTCATTTGGGGACTCGTCTCTCGGGAAACTCAATTTTTGTGATGAATATAGACTGTCATCAGTTTCAGATCGATTCATGTCATCAACCAGTGGTTCAATAGTATAATCGTTGTCTGTTTGACAGATNCTGTTTGACAGATCACTAAAAGTTCTTCGGAATGTGTTATAACTATAACCACTCGATAACGACTGGTGACAGTCAAACCGTAGACACCATTTATGGCTTTTTGAGTTTCATTGTCGCCAATTTTAGTGGTAATACTCGTTGTTTTAACCTTAAGAACAGATCCCTGACCGAAGACAAAAGCGCCGCCACTCTCGCCCATCACTACTGCCATACCATCGTTGGAGGTAACGCTCACAACAACAATATTTGGGGATTGTTTGATGTCATGGGCCATACCATTCATCTCGGCATCACTTGAGTTGATCATAAATGTACGAATGGTTCCGCCATTGCATTGATGGCCACTCGAGATGTGATTTACTTGTCCTCTAAATGAGCCGATGAATGTGGCCATTGGTATCAGAATTGACGGTCTTTTGCTGTAAAATACGAGGAAATGAAGATTTTTGTCACAATTTGGAGACCAGTTGAGAGTCGACATCGCTTTTGGTGTAAATGTATGAATTGTGAAGTAAATTAACGAAATATTTGTAATTTATAAAATTTAAATTAATTCGTTAAATGATTTATTGTTAATGAATGCAGTGTTAGTATTGTTACTGAATGTTGTGAAATTGCTGCCTATTATTAAAGTAATGATCGTGAGTAAGTCGTGAGCACAATTCCGTTCCAAGAGGTTTATGCTCTCATTTTTAACCTGGCTGCTTTTTATAAATTTTTAAAAATATAAAAATGTTGTATCCATGGGACGGATATTTTGGTTATTTTAGATTTTTGTTAAACCCTTTGACCGTTTTGCACGAGGAGGGGGTTTATAAAGCATAAACACCCTTTCAATTAAATCTAGATTACATGAGCCAATGTAACCGATACTACGCTCGTCATCGACGGTCACAATTGAAACTGTCTTATGTGTGGCTCACGAGTGGAGACTCAGCGCCGTTAACATTATCAACAAATCCAATATAACAATAGCATTCATGAGGAATGTATATTAAATTCGTTAAGAATTGTAGTTATTATATAAATATAGATTATATTAATCCTATAAACCGCACAACAGTTGTGGCACAACTACTTCTATTAAAAAGGTTGTAAAAAGGTTAAAATGGTTGTAGAAATATAAATGTGTTATAAACTTTATAAAAATGTTATTTACATGAGTTAGATGTGTACTGTATATACAATTAGTTAATCTAATTAAATTTAGTAATTATGATACAGTTATTTTGTATTTAATATTGTATTCTTGTAACTTTATAAACCTTGTATTATAAATCCTTAATACATGTAAAGTTTTAAGTATATTATCAAGTAGTGTTTGCGGTCATTATATCATAAACACAACCACTATACTAGTAAGTTAATTATAACATACAATTTTTGAGTTAATACTATAAAACCAACAATTAATTAAATCTAATCATAAAATCAAGTTCCGTTTCCTTCAAGTCATATCCTCTATTGGATTATACTTATGAATAAACTAATGGACTGCACATTATTGTGCTTTAGTTACTATTTTCAGTAAACACTAAATTGTAGTATAAATTAATAAATTATATTTAAAATTATCTTGGACAAATTATAATTCCAATATTTATTATAATAGATATTGAACACCAAAAATGAATCCAAGTTATGGTGTTTTAATGTCTCTATTATTAGTTTGTTTTGGTATAAAATTAATGATATCAATATTTATCTCAATTAAAATTGATTTTAATATTTATTATAATAAGTTTCATCGGAAGATCGTTGCGAACCTGGATTTACAGACAACTGCTTTAGCGCTGTTCACAAAGACTTACAGCTAATCATTAATTCAAATAATACTTCATTTAAACGATATACAAATGACTATCTGGAAAAACTTTGCAAGTAATTCATAAATACCAATAATAAGTTATATAATATATATGATGTTTAAATTATTTAATGATTGACAACTATTTTATATTCACACCAAACATTAGTGAAATAGACGACGCGCTTAATTGTACGAGTGATGTGATCGATACGGACTGTAGTGAAGATGAGGGCAGAGGAAGGTTTGATAAGTGGAATATGGCTTTCCTTCAAACCTATTATGAATTATGCGATTGTGTCGGGAATGACGATAAAATTATTTTAAGAGATCTGTCAGTCAGTCTGTCTGTCTCTATGTCTGGGATGACAATGTATTTTCTTCACACATTTAATAATTAATATTTGTTAAAACACTTCATTCACAGCCATTGTCTATCAGCTCCGGTGTTGGAATGCAACTCATTTCGTGGATTGCATGCAAACCACTGCCGGTTTATCCTCTATTCACCACTTGATGTCCACTGAAATCAATAAA